TTTTCTGTGAAGGATCGTCAGACGGGGACCGTGACGCATCGGTCCAATAATGTGGGTCCCCTCTACCCTGTAGGCCAACCAGAACCAGCCCAAGCGCACGTCTCATCCGTAGATCATCAAACCTGGCATCGTCGTCTCGGCCATCCAAGTCCTGCAGTCCTTCATGGAGTCTCTCATAATTTTTCTTTATTTAAAAATTATCAACAAACTCTTTGTCATGCATGTCAGTTGGGAAAGCATGTGCGCCTCCAATTTTACCCTTCTAGTCGAGTTTCTTATTTTCCGTTTCAACTTTTACATACAGACTTATGGCAATCTCATGTGCCAAGCATTACTGGTTTTAAGTTTTATATGTTGTTTTTGGATGATTTTTCTCATTATCTGTGGGTGTTTCCTTTAAGACATAAAAGTGATGCTGTCACTCACTTAAATTCTTTTATGGCATATGTGGAAAATCATTTTAACACAACAATCAAAGCTGTTCAAAGCGACAACGGAACTGAATACAGAAACTCCCCTCTTAAAAATATTTTTAACTCCTTATGCATTATTTTCCACTTCTCTTGCCCTCACACGAGTCAACAAAACGGACGTGCCGAACGAACCATTCGCACAATCAATAACACCGTCCGCTCACTCCTCTTCCAAGCCCAACTTCCCCCTGAATTCTGGGTCGAAGCCTTGTACATGGCTGCCCATCTTTTCAACATCCTACCCACCACCACTTTAAACAATCGCACTCCTCACTCTGTTCTCTACAACTCACCCCCCCCACTACTCCCACCTTCGCGTGTTTGGATGTCTCTGTTACCCCAACATCTCAGCCACCACTCCCCATAAACTTGCACCACGCTCTACCCGCTGCATCTTCCTTGGCTATCCCTTGAACCAACGTGGTTTCAGATGTCTTGATCTTGAAACAAATAAAATCATTGTCTCCCGCCACGTTGTCTTTGACGAACACACCTTTCCATATGCTCACCCCCTCACCCCTCCCGATCTTCAATTCTTGGATTCCACCGATGACGAACACCTCCCCCTCACCCATCCCGCCACCTCTNCCCCCACGGCCCAGCAACCCAACCCGGCACCCAACAACCACCCCATGCAAACCCGCTCCAAAGCCGGCATTTTCTGCCCTAAACAAATCCTTAATCTCAACACTTCTGTCCCCATCTCCCCCTTACCCCCAACCTACCGTAGTGCACTAAAAGATCCAAACTGGCACGCTGCTATGTGTGATGAATTTAATGCCTTGATTAAGAATGATACATGGGAATTAGTGCCCCCTTCCCCCTCCCAAAACCTTATCACCGGTAAATGGCTTTTCCGACACAAATTTGGCCCCTCAGGTGAGTTATCCCGGTACAAGGCCCGTTGGGTGGCTCGTGGTTTCAACCAACGTTTTGGCGTTGATTATGACGAGACCTTCAGCCCCGTTGTCAAGCCTGCCACTGTTCGTATCGTCCTCAGCCTTGCTCTGTCTCGTGGATGGCCCATTCACCAACTTGATGTCAAAAATGCGTTTCTTTATGGCCAACTACTGGAGACCGTTTATGCCAGCCAGCCTTCTGGGTTTCAAGATCCCAGTCGCCCTCATTATGTATGCAAACTCAAGAAGGCCCTTTATGGTCTTAAGCAAGCACCACGCTCTTGGTTCCACATATTTGCAGGTTTCATACAGA